GAATACCTCCAGCTTACTTGTTATATTAAGTTGTTTGAACTTATTAACCCGAACTTATGATGTCTGCATTATACTGACAATTGAGCAGTCAAGATCGGCATCCAGAATTGCCCACTGATGGTGTCGATTTCGACAATTGTATTTTTGGGCGTAGCACGGCTATAATTCCGTTTCATATTCCGCCTGCCTTCAAAGTTTTTTAGCAGCCCAAAACGCAGGCAAACCTTACTGGGCCCAACTTTGACAATCAGCAACCGATGCCCGGCGCGGCGCGTCCAGCCGGCTCCATTGCGTCGTGGAGTGGACATGGATCTGTTACTCAGCTAGTAATCCGGCCGACCAGCCTCACGCGCGTGGTCTTCGTAATGGTGTCGACTGTATGCGCGCGGCCGGCGCTGGGCGGGGCAACGCTGCCTGCCAATATGGGCGGTCATTCTCACCCTGGCGGCCGCTGTAGGAACTAGTTTGGAAGCTTTGGTCTTTGGACATTCTGTACCTTGGACAATACGTACATTGGACATTCTGTACATTGGACATTATGAAACGGGCCCATTCCACTCTGCGCCATTTTGGAAGTTATTTCTCATCTTGGACATTGTGTACCTTGGACATTCTGTACTTTGGACGTTTTGTACCTTTGGACATTCTGTACTTTGGACAATATGATACGGACCCTTCCCCACCATGTCGACCAATCTACAAACAATACGGAAGACTGCTTGGATACGCATGAAACTCATTTCATTGGGTTCTTGTTACCTTGGCCTCGCACATTTTTATGGTTCTTGATGCGCAGTTATGTTGTGACCACGCAGTAATGTTGTGATCACGTGTAGAAATGGCGCCGGGGTCGTGGTTGCCACGTGTTTGTGCTCGGATGTTCGCTGTCGTAGTTCTTTAAGTTCCAAGGTAAGAGTTTAGATGACCTGTTTTACGATTAATTACGATATGTTCTGCCTTAAAAACGACGAGTGATGTACAGTGCTCTTTCTTAACATGAGGTAGCAATGCATACCCTGACAACCACATCACACACGTTTTCTTTCAGAGCATGCAGTGCCCAGGTCCGTTGCTACTCACCAGCACACGTTTAACCCACTTTCCACCCACAAACAACACCGGCGAGCTCAGACGCCGGGCCCGGGCACGCACTCAACGTTTCTTGACGGGCCAGCGAGAAGGAAGTGGCCAAAGAACATCTCGTATACTTCACCATCCAACTTGCTGGATTACACATGGGAATCATTGTACTACAATACAAATTGATACAAAAGTACATGATGTCACGCTAACATATATCCCTAAATATAGGATGAATTGATCATATATGAATGAAAATTATTTCAATGCTTTTTCAATTGCTTCTTTATTAAATTTGCATGTGAGGCTACCAAAAAAGAAGACTGTATAGGATGTATTGTGTTGACGTCATCACAAACACTCGTTTGGACACGGTAAATCGCGCACAACCATCTGTAAGATTTTTGGAGGGTGCAGAAGCAGGTGCATAACCACCCTCCATGTCGGGGGTGTAAAAGCCGGCGCATAACCGCTCCCGTTTTGGGGGTGTATACACACCGCCAATAGGAAACTACAACCCTGGTCCCAAATTAAGTATATCCAGGCCAGCAAAAACCTAGGCAGGTATCACATTGCCCTGGAATCTTTCCCTTAGGTGAGAGACATCGTACCTTAGCCAGAATGTAGCTGCACTGACTGCTATGCCCCATATGCTGTCATTGATATTATTGTGGCTTGTATGACATTTCAATAATAAATTTGTGGTCATGTCCTCTGGGGAATTGGTCAACAGCTGCCCAACATTTTAAAGATTGGTTTCTAGCAGCCTTAATTGGGACTCACACCAATACAATAGAATTGCCAATATCATCAACTCGCTATCAGCTCCGTGGCTTGGGAAGTGTAGCCAGTGTAGGTATACATTGGTACCTCATGTTAGAAAAAAAACATTGCACATCATTCGTCGTGGTTAAGGCGTAACATACGGTAAATAGTCGTAAAACGGGTAGATTCATGCTCCTACCTTTGAATTTTAATAACTACGACAGCGAGCTCCCGGGCGCCGCGCACACTCCCAGACTCCCCAGCGCCCTTTCTGCGTTATCGTTGCGTGGTTACAACAGTTATGCTTATCAAGAACCATAAAAAGTGTACGGGGCCAAGGTAACAATAATAATGCAATGAAATACGCTTCTCATCGCGTGTAGGCACGTTTATTGAACAGACAGGCCAGAATAGTCCAGAACATAGCCTAAACCAGCCTAACCTAACCCAGCCTAAACTAGCCTAACCTAACCTAACCTTACCATACCCCGTTCAACCCAGTGTCCCACTGGCATCCGTGTTCCATGCCATGTATATGTACCGTATTAAGAAGTTTTGTTCAACCGCCATATTCTCATTTGCTTTTCATTCCCCACCCAAAGACGTCATATTTATCCACCACGTCCACCAATCTACAAACAGTACGGAAGACTGCTTGGATACACGAGAAACATATCTCACTGGATTCTTGTTACCTTGGCCCCGTGCATTTTTATGGTTCTTGATGCGCAGTAATGTTGTGACAACGCTAGCAATGGCGCCGGGGTCGCGGTTGCTGCGTGTTTACGGCGCTGGGATGTTTGCTATCGTAGTTATTTAAGTTCCGAGGTAAAAGTTTAGATCCCCTCTTTTATGATTAATTACGATATGTTCTGCCTTAAAAACAACGATTGACGTACAATGCTCTCTTTTAACATGAAGTGGCGATGTATACCATGACCAGGTTCTTTAACCTGATGTTGAATAGGCTCCTGCCACAGCTCATTTTTTCAGACTGGGTCGGACCGCTTTTTCCAGTCTGTGCACACAGTATGCAACAAATGGGTCAAGACAAATGCACGAAAAACTAAGCAGCAGAACATCCTTGGGAGGTAAGAGAAGTGTCACAATGAACACATTGATTCATGCGTAAGCATGCTTGTACTGGAGACATTGATATATCATATAAGTCATAATATATCGCCTGCGTTGGCCTCGAGCTTTCTAAAACGATCTCAAATTTGGTGTGAACACATGCAAAGGGCATTTTCTATTCTTCCAGCACACTCATTAGGTCCATGCGCCATGTAACGACGACGAACAGTTTTCCCCCACACCGACTACGCGCCACACACACGGTGAAATCAATTGATTGCGCTAGAAAGCCAAGGCCGTGAAAGAGAATGCGAGGATAAAGGGCACAGCCACTTTCAGCTGATTGAGCGGTGACGTCAGCGGCCCAGGACCACTTCCAAGGTCTCACTGCCAGCGTTTTAATAGCACCGCATTGGACCGAACGGCACCGAACGGCACGGAAGGGAATCAGACACGATCATACATAACTAAGTGGGACCGAACGGCACCAGACGTGATCGGACGGGAGCGGATGGAACCGGATGGGACCAAACAGGCCCGGGAGTGATCGGACCAAATCGGCTGGGATCAAATGATATCGGACGCCAACAGACGTTACAAATAGAAATTGGACGGGACGGAACGGAGCCGGAAGAGACCAGACAACGCAAATGGGGCGCGATTAGCCCAGCCTGGACTGGAAAGGATCGAAAGAGAGCGACCTGGACCAGACGAGACGGGACGGGACTGGACGTGGCCGCACGAAAGCTGACGCAATGGAACGGGACCAGCCGGGAACGGATGGGACTGGACAAGACTAGAAAGAACCGGACAGGACGGGACAGGACTGAGTGGGACCAGACCAAACCAGACGGGTCCGGGTGGGATCAGGCGATACTGGGCGGGATCGGATAGAAATATACCAAACAAAATGGCGCCAGATGGGACCACAGGAGTTGCACGCGATCACAGAAGCCCGATCTGGTCCTGTTCTGTTCCTGTCCGGTCCCGCCCCATTCAGGAGTTCCTTTTGGTCACGTCCCTTGCCATCCGACCCTGTTCCATCGCTTGATGTCCCGTCGGTCTCAGCAGTCCCAACCGGGCCGAGGTCTTGTGCGGTTCCATCCGATCCCATCAGGTCTCGTCCATGTCCATCTGATCTCATCAGCTTTCATCAGCTGTGTAATCTGGTGTCGTTCAATATAGCGTCCATCTCCTTTCTGTCCAGTCCGGCGCCATCCATTCCATCTGATCCAGTCTGATCCAGTCCGGTCACGTCTGGTATCATCTATTCTCGCTGAATTCTGTCAGGGCTGTTTCGGCCCCACCCGGTCCCGTCCAGTCCAGTTCTGTTCCGTGCGGTTCCGTCCAATCAAGCACGGTGCCGTTCGATCCCGTCAAGTCCTGTTTGGCTTTGTTCGGCCACGTCCGGTCCCATCACATCTCGTCCAGTTTCATCTGGTCCCATCTGGCCTGGTCCCACCCGGTCCCGTCTTGCTTCATGACTTCCATCGGGCTCCTTCCGGTTCCGTGCCGTTCCCTTCGGTCACCCCGGAAATTTAATTTTTAGGTAGCCCATAACTAGTGACACTTATTTCTTGAAAATTTGGTGTGTCACACAAGGCAACGTTAAGATGGAGCAGCATAGGAGGCAAGAACTGACTGAAAACTGGCAGACTCGGTGCTATTTGACGGTTTAGGTTAAGTGCATGTGTTCTTTCTGTTTCTTTATTTGGTGGGGTGAAGACCGTTTGGTTGGTGTGTGAATGCAGGCTTTGGTATGTCAAAAAGGAGCGTTGGCCGATGCTTCATTGCATCTTGGACAGATACGCTTTCCCCTCACTGAATCTGGTATGGATTCGTGGAGTGCAGACTAGAGTCCTTCAACCCCTCGTCGAGTGCGTTCGTTCGCTTTTGTCTGAGCCAGGTTTATCCTGACTAAGCACCACTGGATGTATTCCTACACTGGCGCTGCCAGCTAAATCCGGTTTTCACCTTGCCCTGATTCCGACCCCGGTGATGCGCCAAGGTATCAAAGTCGATCAGGTTGAGGTCGATTTCAATTGCAGTGACGGTGGCGGGTGGGTAGCTTGAGACGTACCTTTCACATGGCACACGAATATTTATTCGTCTACAACTGGGTAATACTCGAGTGAAATGCAATTTGAAATATGGACACCATCAGAACTATTCGAGATAAAGGCGGCCACCAGCTCCCGAAACTTTCGCCCGACGTCCAGACGTCAACGAGTTTGTCAATGATGGCTGCAAGAATGGGGCACTACCACTGCGTGCCAAATGGATGATGATCATGACGTCCAATCCACTGTCAACGACGAGCCGCTAGACACAACTCTTCACCAGTGTAGCACAGGCCGGCGCACAAGTACTTTCAACAACCCGCTGCAGCGGGCTTCACGGACCAGTTGTTGCAACCTGCAGATTGCGATCGGGAATTTGGGATTGTCGGATTGCGATCATGTGATATGAACAAATGATTTACACTGTACCTTTTCACGGAAGAGCCTCGTGCCTTCCGAGCATATCGTGACAAAGGCGCCCATGATACCGGCACAACTGCTAACCCATACACTCAACAGCGAAAAGGATCAAGCCAACCTCACGATCCAATCTGCTGTGGACTGTCACAACCGGCGCATGAGACGAGCTACACAGCTCACAGGCTTACATAGACGAGCTGGGGGATACGGGCGCGCGGCGAGTCGACACGCCGCTAATGCCGGGAGGGGGAGGGGCGAGGCACCACCATCAGCACGCTCGCCCACCACGGGCCATCCGACAGCCGTCGCGCACCACAGCATACGCCTAATGCACTTTCGGAATATATTTTAGACACTCAGGCAACGCGCACGCACTATCACGCGGGAGAGGTCCAACAGGCGGCGCCGGCCGCCGGGAAATAGCCACTTTGTACAGAGTGCCGAGGCGCGGGGCCGGCCAGCGCGGCCGAGGCGGCCGCCCTATGGCCGACCGGCATATCACACACGGGCCGCCCGGGCCGATCCGTCCTCAGGCGGCCACCCACTCCCACGCCGGCGCGACGGCGGTCTGGTCGGGAGGGAGCGCACAGCGCCGCACACGACTGGCGCGGAAACGTCCAGCCTAGCGGCGGCCAATAGGTGTCACTACTGCTGCTGATGAGGCATGGGGTGAGGCGGCTGCGTGCCCTGGCCAAGCAGAGAAAGTGGAGATCTCGAGCATGGATATTGCTGACAACAATGGTACACGCACTGAATGTACGATCATGAGCATGACACTGCACCGAGCATTTGATTCCACACATTGGACGCAAATGGACGCAAAGAACGACAAGACGTTGGTAAACACTAGCAGTCAAACGTCTAACACTTTCCATCTCATTTGTCTCTCATTGCATATTCTAACACTTATCATCTCATATGTACTTAGCCCTCATTTATACCCCTCATATGTCCAAGAAATCACATCCTATAGCACGCGGCGTCGCCCAGACGACCAGCACACATTGGTAACCTGGTCGGCCGCCTGCAGCATCAGGTATGACAGCCGGTGTGAACTTACGTTGTTGGCGTTGATGCCGTACATCATGCCGTCCGGGCTGGGCTGCACGTGCTGAGGTAGTTTATCGTCACCCTTCTCCTCCTCGCGCCTCTTCAGGCAGGCTGCCTTCGGATTCAGGTTGCGCTCTGTGCGCAGAACAGTCGGCCTTCAGCCGCCACGCGTACAGCCCCGCCTTACTCGGATCTCGCAGCGGCGGATCCGTGGCGGACCACTGTCGCCACAGCCGGGGAATTCTCAGGCGCGAATAGAAACTGTGTACACATGGATAACAGTATGATTGTGCAGATGAGAGATGGTGGCAAATTAAGGTCAACGAGTGGAATCGTGGGAACTGGAGACAGAGGGATGCAGAATGCAGACAAAGAACAAATAAAATGGAGACGAAGTGGAGGACGGAGGGCGAGAGCGAGAGCGCGCGCGCGCGAGAGAGAGAGAGAGAGAGAGAGAGAGAGAGAGAGAGAGAGAGAGAGAGAGAGAGAGAGAGAGAGAGAGGAGAGAGAGAGAGAGAGAGAGAGAGAGAGAGAAGAGAGAGAGAGAGAGCAGAGAGAGAGAGAGAGGAGAGAGCGAGAGAGAGAGAGAGAGAGAGAGAGAGAAGAGAGAGAGGAGAGAGAGAGAGAGAGAGAGAGAGAGAGAGAGGAGGAGAGGAGAGAGCGAGAGAGAGAGAGAGGAGGAGAGAGAGAGAGAGAGAGAGAGAGAGAGAGAGAGAGAGATAGAGAGAGAGGAGAGAGAGAAGAGAGAGAGAGAGGAGAGAGAGAGAGAGAGAGAGAGAAGAGAGAGAAGAGAGAGAGAGAGAGAGAGAGAGAGAGAGAGAGAGAGGAGAGAGAGAGAGAGAGAGAGAGAGAGAGAGAGAGAGAGAGAGAGAGAGAGAGAGA